ACAAGGAGCTAACCTGCACCCAGCCAAGTTCAGGCTGCAGAGAGACAGCACAGCAAGCCTGGATGCTGTGAGCTCTGCTGGGCTGGATACGCTCCCCTCCTCTTCCCGGCAGTCAGCACACATAGCACCAGCCTGCCTGTGCTCAGGAGTAGGCAGCCAAGGCCACAGCACCTGGGCACCTCGGCCCCTGCCTGTGCTGGATGGTGGATAGAGGGGGACTCAGGGAGGGGAAGGGGGTGCCTGAAGGCAGATGCTGTCAGGTATCTGAGGAGGCCTTGGGGAACCTGAGGGCTCACTCACCTTGACCATCCGAGCAAAGTACTCTCCTCCCAGGTAGTTTTCAGTTTTCAAATACAGGTCACGCAGCTCGCTGGCCCCCACAGGGTTGTACTTGGAATTGAACTTGTCAAAGCGATGGAATGTCTGCCGGCCCTGGGGAAGGAGACCACCAGCCAGGTCAGCACATTGTTCTGCAGCCACCACACACATTCCCCTCTGCAGACTTTCACAAGGTGGCCTTATGTGTGGCCACACTGAAAGATGTCTTCTACGTCATTTGTGGCATGAAATCTTGGAAATTCCTGAGGCCCAGGACCGCGTATCCTCACTTGGTCAGCCACAGGATCCTGAGGTGAGGCCCTCTGTGAAGGCGTAGCCAGGGCCTTGTGCTCCAAGTGACCACAGCTAGGACCATGGCGGGCTCAGAGGACACTAGACTATTGAACAGTTGGTAATGAAGTGCTCACTATCACTACTCAGACTTTGTAAAGCATGTTTCCTACATTATATCATTTAGCGTTTGGTCTGTTTTCTTAACAAAGATTTTTTATTGTGGTAAAACATACATAACACAAGATTTACCATCTTAACCATTTTTAAGTGGACAGTTCAGTGGCATTAAGTAACTTCACAGTGTTGTGCAGCCATCACCACCTATCTCCAGAACTTTCTCATCCCAATTGAAACTCGCGCTCATTAAACACTAACTCTCCAATCCTTCCTCTCCTCCGCCCCTGGTACCCTCTCTTCTCCTTTCTTTCTCTCTCTCTCTTTTTTTTTTTTTGGTA